TATTTTAGTAACATTTGGAGCAGAAAATACTGCGTTTATACCATAAGTTAGTAAGAAGGTCCAACTATTCATTTTATTTAGTCTCCTTTAATACTTCTGTTGTTTTTTGAAATTTCAGCAAATAAAGGAATCCCAGAAAAAGTCTACAAAATGATTGTGTCATTTATGAACATTTAGTAAAGAAAGAAGTTATTGAAGATACAACATGGATATGCTAAAGAACTGCTAAATAAACAAGATGAGATAGTGGATGTGAAAATATTTCTAGACTATACAATAGCATTTAAGTGTTTATCTTTTTACTTTAAATGAGCATTTTTCCCTTCATTTATCTAAATTGGAAGGATGCCATAAACTATATCTTTTTTTAAATAAAACATTTGATAGTGTTTTAATGCTATCTTTTTAGATAACATGGAACAGTGTAGCCACTCACTATATCTAATTAACAAATGTTTGTATCTATATCATTGCAGACACCTACAAATTGATGGTGATCTCTAGAATCCTCTTCCTATATTTTCTCCTTGAAATTGACTCTGTCAATATTTATTTTTAAAAAATCAAGCATTGGAGACAGTGCAATCCAGTTATTAATCATATTGTGCTAGAGATGGCTCATATTTATTTTAGCTATGTGTTATCAGCATATTTCTTAGTCATTCTGTGCCTCATTTTCCACAAACAGGTCCTGAGAGGGTTGCTCTGGATTAAATAAGACAATGTGTTTAAATGATTTAACATCAGTGCTTTTTATTTAGTAAGTCCTCAATAGATGTTAGCAGTGATTTTGCTGATAGTAATGATTGTATGGGGGGAGGTATGTTTATGATGTGTACGGTCAGAGCAAAGATGTGGCTGGGAGCTGGAATCAGGAAGATAACATTAAAATTTTAAACTTTATGAAGTCAAATTGAAATCTTGTTTCTAAGTTTTCAAAATTTCAGAAAATTTCCATGGCCTATGTGATGGAGGAAAGAACTACCTTTGGCTTTTTCTTCAGATATTTTGTAGAACAGACTTCTTTCCTCTAGCATCATTGTTATCCTTTAAAATTTTAGTTATTACATGTATACCATGGAAAGCTTTGGAAATAGAGAAAAGTAGTAGAAAAAATTGGCTATAATTCTACCAACAAGAAAAACACTATCAATACTTGGTGTATATTATTCTGATCTTTTTTATCTTTCTATGTAAATGCTTCCAAAGTGAATATATACACTTTTTATAAACTCTTTACTTATTTATATATGTACTTTTCTGCAAGATCATTCAGTTGTGTCCACCATGTAATATAATGGCTACATAAAATTGCACACTGTGAATGTGCAGCACCTTAACCCATTGACTGTGACTGGACATTTAGGCTATTACTAAATTTCAGTCATTAGAAGCAATGTAATGAGCAACCTTTGCGCAGATTCGTGGTTATTTCCTTAGAATGCTCTTAGAAGTGGAATTTCTGAGTAGGCAAAATGTAGAGGCTTTCAATTTATATTGTCAAACTTCCCTGCTGAAAGACAAGCACCATTTTAAAAAATGAAAGTTGTAAACCAAGACCTTATTTTAACAAGATGCTCTACATGAAGGGAAATTAGTATCAGTTTCTTTAGAGTGGTTTACCCCTCTTAAAGCCAAATTGCCATTAACAACAGAGATTATTTTTTTTAGAGTTGACAGAATACCATTGAAAATATCTAAATAAGCAAGTTATGCAAGAATATTTATCTGTTTTAAACTTGACAGTGAACACAAAGTAACAGTCTTAGCATAAAAGGCTAACAGATGTCATGAACATGCCACTGTGGAGGATGTGGTGTTTTCATAGAGCTTCTTTTTTCCTGACCTTCATTAGATATTGTTTAAATTTTTTTTTGCTTATTTACTTTTAAACCTCTAAACATTATGCCTATGCACATATGCTACTTAGTTTATATTCAATAAAGGATTAGGAGTGAAAACTTTTTCTTTTTTGGTGCCGGGGATTGAACTTGGGTCCTTGCGCTTGCGCAGCAGGCAGTGAAACCACAGAGCTAAATCCCCAGCCCAGGAGTGAAAACTTTTAAGTGGAGAAAATGTACCACAATAGCTTAATGTTGCTGATTCCAGTTGCAGTTTTCTAGCTATGAATGTCCTGTCTGCGTGGATGAGAGTGGAGAGCATGGTTCTGGATTAAAGATCTCCTTTGATTTTTGCATCTCTAGTCCTTTGGTGAAACACTTCAGTTGTATCCTCTTCTGAATTTCCAGGTGGTTGAAAATGTCAATTTTTTTTTTTTATTAAAAGTAATCATTAAAACAATTTGATCTCTCTCATTGAGAAGCTAACTCCTTAGCAAACGGTTTTGAATTTATCAAGTGAGGCTCTTCCTTGTGCTGACCCCTTCAAGTGATCAGGATCATTGTGTTGAGCCTCAACACCTTCCTTGGACTTTTAATTGGTCCCCACGCCACAAAAGGGTGCCAGTGCCACAAAAGGGTGCCAACTTGACACAGAAGGAACCAGAAAGGATGGGAACAAGGCTTAAATAAGCCTTTAAAAGTCTAAACTTTTCAAAAAGCCTGAACTTTTAAGTAGTACGTGTATTATCTACTGTTTTAGGCTTCCAGTAACATTTCTCAGGTAGACCTAGGAAATAAGGTACTTGTTTCCTGTATTGATTTCCTATGCCAGAAGGCACTCTTTGGGTGTTAGGAGAGTAACAACACAAATCTCCAGGTCTAAGAGTCTTTCCTTCTTAGTCATAAACACACAATTCTGTAGTAGGTATATGGTGGTGAAATTTTGCTTAAATATAGTTTACAAAACTGGCATTACAAAGACCACTTGCCCTTTCAGTTCTGTGCTGGTATTGTTACCACACAAAGGCTTGGTCTGCTGTCTGCTCTTCGAGAGGGCAGTTTGGAGTCAAGTCAGTGGTTGAAAAGAGCTACTGCAGTGTGCTGGCTGATTGCCAGATGGAGGCCACCTCATCCTAAAGGGCCATCTTCCCAAGAGGCTGATTTAGAGGTGGCTTGTGTAGTGGATGGATGATCACAAACTGTGGACACCTTCTCACAAGTAGAGGCTGGTGGTCAGATGACACACATCTGATCCTAATCACCGATACAAGATGCTTTTCGGTTCTGCAACCTCAAGAGAAAAAAATCATTTCCTTGGGGTGTTGTCACTGGTAGTTTGCCCACATGCAGTTCCTGACATATCAAGACAGTAGACTGGCTAGAGATGACTACTGTGCTGTGGCCTCTTGCTAATCACCAAACTCACGATAATAAAAGAAAATACAGTTCATCCTATTATGTGGGAGACAAGGATCAGCTGAGAATAAATAGGTGGTTGGGCACAAGATCTGGTCTTGGTCCTCAGCTTTAATACTTTCTATAAATGTTTATATTTTATCAATATCATTAAAATTTCGCTCAAAGAGAAATTTCTCAGGCTGGAATTGATAGTAAATTATTTGTTGGGGTTGGTTTTCTTTAGGGAAATTATAGTCTTTTGGAGCTATTTCATGGAAATTTCCTTTTTCAGGCCTAGTGTAATACAGTCTTTTCTAAGCTGAAAACAGCCCTGCAAAGAAACTTGTAGGGCCTGCCAGGTGTTAAGAGTTACTCTAATGTAGAGGAAATTTTGTAGCACCTAGGAGTGGCATATTTCTACCTGTTCTTCAGAACAGGTATTCGTGTGTTACAAGTTTGGTTACAAGTGTTAAGGAAATACTAACTCATCCTATTCTGGTGAGAATGGAATTATGACTTAAATGCAAATATTTCCCCCAAAGGGACTGCCCTCTCTGAGTTTATCTGAATTGTATTGTGTACCTTTGTTTGTAAACTCATCTGAATCTCATACCTGCCCCTCCTCTTCCATTTGAAATTTTCGGTAAAACTGAAAGAAACATTTTTTAGTTGACAAATCAGGCTTCACATGAAAAGGAATGTATCATAGATTTGAGTGAACAAAAATTGTATTCTTTCTTAAAGATTTCATATATATGCATATATATCCTCGAAAATTATTTTATATGTATGTTTATATCCTTGACTTTGACTTTTATACTTTTAACAATCACTATATAAACTTCATATAAACTTTTTTGAAAAAAATATATAAACATATTTGGTGATACTGGGGAGTGAACCCAGGGGCTTCACATTGGATTACATCCCTAGCCCCTCTTTATTTATTTATTTATTTATTTATTTATTTATTTATTTATTTATTTTTGAGACACTGTCTCACTAATGCTAACCTCGAACTTGGGGTCTTCCAGTTGCTAAAATTACAGACATGTGCCACTATGCCTAGCTTATTTCTTGAAATTTAAATCAAAGGAAATTTAGTTTAAATCTGACCTCTAAAGAGTAATTTATTTGGTTTGGGCATTTAGCTCAGTGGTTCCACCACTTGCCTTGCAAGTGCAAGGTCCCGAGTTTGATCCCAGGTACCAAAAAAAAAATTTGGGCTGGGGATTTAGCTTAGTGGTTCTGGCGCCTGCCTCGAAAGTGCAAGGTCCCAAGTTTGATCCCCAGTACAAAAAAAAAAAATTATTTAATTGTGTAGAGTGTTTTAAATTTAGGTTTTTTTCTTTATCAGTTTTATATATTTCTGTTGAATTAATTCTAAAAGCTAAATGGTCCTATTTATCTTTCCTATCACAGGTATTCCTGTAATACCTAAACATATATTTATAGCTATTCTCTGCTTAAATAAACAACATATAAAAATGTGTATTTTAAAATAGAAAATGATTCCTGAAAAGTCAGTGTGGTAGATTTTAAACTCAAATTAATCACACACAAAAAAAGAATTACCCTTAGTTTCACATACCACTTTGATACAATAAGGAAAAGCTAAAGTTCTTATGTAATGTTTGCATTAAAATATTCCTAATTTATACTTTGTTGCACTTACATAATTAAAATGTTCATGTATTAGAAATCATCATTACTCTTTTCACTACAAACTTACAAGAGTTCCTGCTTTTTTTTCTCTAACAGATATAAGCTTACCAAAGTCGGCAACAATATGCTACACAGCTGCCTTGCTCAAAGCAAGAGCTGTTTCTGACAAGTAAGTGAGTAATAACTTGTGTGGGACTAAATACCTGACCAGACTTGAGGAGATGTGTTGACTCTGAGGGCTTTCTCTGGAGGTTTCTCTCAGTCTATGAGACCCCTGCTTATGAGCATGCATTTTCCAAAACCTGCTGATCTTTTCTTTCCCTACTAGAAGGAGGAAATCTATATCCCCCAGTATTGTAGGGGTATGTGGGTCCCTAAAGAAGGAGTTATATGACATTCCATGCCTCTGAGGTGACATTTTTTTTTTTGGTGCCAGACAGTAAATACCATGAGGCCTGCTTAGGAGTTATACAGAATGCTGTCTTTATTCATTTTTTGCATATTCCTCTTCCTGTAGCAGTCTATAACTGGGTAATGTACTGTGGCAGAGGGGATGGTCTCCCATTCTTTGCCTCAGTACTTCCAAATTAGCTCCCCACTCAAGTTCTGCTTACTTTGAAATGCCATCTCAGTTGGACATTTGCCTGTTTTATTCAGGCAGGTGACTGTGGCACATAGAATTTTCATAAACACCCAAGGACAACTGTTAAGTACTGTAAAAGAGTACAGATGGCTTAACTGTTTTTGAGTTTATAAATGCTTACATTTCCCTGACACAGTCCCTCTGTAACACTGAAAAGCAGAGAGTAGGAATACAGCCTCTGCTGTGTCAGACAGGTTTGCTATTAAGTGTGTGTGCAGTTCAAGACCGAAGTAATTTTCTTTCATTCTTTTTTATCCTGTAGATCGCCAGTACCTACTGCAACATCTTTTCTCCCTACACAGCGACTCCAGCTTGGGAGGGCAGGGCCAGGGTTGTCACAGCTTCCCCTGTGGTGTCTGCCTGCCAAGCACAGCTCTGGAGTTAGCCCTGGGTGTGAGGTGAGAAAGAGATTGCATGGTCTGGTTTTTTTCATTGACTTAGGCAGGTGTCTCGCCCACAGTTTGGGCACGCACACTCCCTGCCGGAACAGCCCCAAGCAGGCTCGCCTGCTGCTGATGCTGCAGCTACTTAACCCTCCATCGCAGCACTGACATTGGGTTGGGAGCCTCCTTTAAAATTCTCCCCAGTTTGGTTTTTAACCAAGTGCGCTCTTCTGTACCTTAGTTTTTTCCTACACTGTCTGCCCTTGTTAGTCCTCTCCCTTGCTCTCACCTAAGCAGGTACCTCGTAGAATATTTAGATTAGCTATTTAGACAGAGACTTGACAGCTGAATTTAATCCCTGCCATGATTAGATGCAAGCACACTTTCTGCTTCTGCTGGGGTTTCTGTTGGCCTCAGTCTGATGGGTCACTCAGAGGTTCCATGCAGTGCAAGTTTGGAGATCTTGTGCCATTGGCTCGCCTTGGTTTTATGGGCCCTCAATATGTAGATGCCTTTCTGGGTTGATGCCCAAGCAGTGGTCCCAACTGGATGGTGTTTGTTTTCTGCTTTTCAGATTCTCTCCAGAGGCTGCATCTCGGCGGGGATTGAGCACCGCAGAGATGAATGCAGTAGAGGCCATTCATAGAGCTGTGGAATTCAATCCTCATGTGCCAAAAGTGAGTCTGTGGAATCCCTCAGGAGCTTGTTACGGTAACAGAGAAAGCATTCATTGACCACAATGTCATACCTCCAATATTCCCAGTTAAAAAAAAAAGAACTGCAACCAACAAATCTTGAGGCCCTGCAGAGTTTATAGTCATTAAGCCTTCTTTTTAAAGTAAAAGCTACACTCAAGAGACCTTGGGGCTGATGGTCAGACTTCACATAAATCTGTAGACCATGTTTAGGCAGGCTAGGTTGGGAAAACTGAAATTGGTGTGTGTGTGAGGGAGGGAGTGAGAGAGTGAGAGAGATCCCAGGATTTCATGCATTAAATAGGAATTTCATATCCATTACAGTCTTATATAGATCAGACTCAGACTCAGGAAATAATCCTTGTGAATAAACTGGTAAAAAGTCCTGACAAATGTGACATTCCATGTCTTTGTAAGTAAATCATAGTTAATTGATGTTGGCAAGAAAATAATAGGGAAAAACCTCAAAGTTAGTATTTTGATGTGTAATTGCTATTTTAATAAGTATATGTATAGTAGGATATATTTGTTTTAGCTATTAACCAGATAGTTCAATTTATAAGTATTTCCCACATGTTTTTCTGAAGTTGACTTTCAGGGAATCAGATTCAAGCAGAGGATATTCTTATAATCTTTTGTTCAGGAGGTAGATGTGTATTTACAGTTTACCCATGTTTGAGTACCTGCTCCAGGATAGTTATATAGATGAGGGCCAATTTCTGTTTCTTAATATTAAGCACATTTTAACTTCTAAGAAACTATCCTTGCAGTTCACATCAGGTATTACAAGGCATAACTTTCCTGGCAAAATGTCTGGGAAAGACTTCCTGGTGAAAAGTGACAAAGGCTGCTGTGTTGCTGCAGTACAGTAGCAAGGAGTGAGATGTGTGTTTGTGAGATGGTTTATGGAGTCGCCTGCTGTATTTTTGTGATAGCTAGAGTGACAGGGATGAGTGATGTGTAATATACAGTAACTCCTGAGGTTTTATTCCAGTTAAGTTCATTTTTTTCACTTAACAGAGAATGAAAGACTGGTGCACAGTGCCATGTTCACATGAGGATGCATTTATCCACTCTACTCTGGTGGATAATAACCAATAGTATGTACAGACTTAAGTACTGGGAGCCCCTCAGAATTAGGGACCAAGCCTAACTCATCTTATTACCTTGAACAGAGCCTTGTAATCCTGAGGTAAAAGGTAGAAAATCTGTACAATTCTTATTGCTAGCTATTTTGATTGAAGTATTCCTTAATTCTATGATAATGGTCTCAAATGATTGAAACTCTAGATGATTATTAAAGCCCTCAGTAGTGGTTTCAGCTGCCTTGGGAGAATTTGATGCAGTCAATTGGCACTCCTGGAAATAAGAATTCTGAAAGTGAAAACATTTCAAATATTTTATATATGTTTTAAATTGACACATAGTACTGGTAATTATATATATTTATGGGGTACAGTGTGGCATTTCAATGCACATGTATAATACATAAGATTGATTTTACTCCATTTTCTAATCTTGAAATAGAGGAGATAAGGTAAGGAGGTAAGCTCATTTTCTACCACTTTGCTTTGTTGTTAATTGCAGTGAGCAGAAAATACCTTCATCTAGTCACATTTCCATGGGAAAAGGTCCCTGTGAGTCACTGGTCTCATTGTTCAGAATTAACCACAAAACTCTGGTACTCATAATATATAGATAGGGTAAGCATCTTTTCTACATGGCCTCTGTTGAACTACTTGATAATACTTCAGCAAATCCACATGCACACAAATTGATGCCTTGCTAGGCAGAGAATACTCCTAATTTCAGTGAGACATCAATGAAGGATGTAAACTCTTGGACACTTGGTGTTAGAAGAGGCATTAAAGATCATCTGTGTCACCTTCCCATCTTAAGCTTGACTGTGATACTGTGATAATTTTATCGATTCCTATACTAAAGTAAATATACATTCTCAGTTATTTTTCACAACACTGTGAGGTATATCATGTTATTATCCCTATTACACAGAGAGAGCATTGAGGATTGGGAGAAGTAACCTGTATCTGATCCATATGTCAAATAAATGATAGACTTAACTGACTCTGGGTTATCTGCACTTAAATATCACCCTCCATTGCCTCTCAGATGCTACCAGATGCTAAGCCTCAAGCCTTCAAATGAAGGTAGGCACTTTACTTCTCAAACCATTCAATTCCTTATGAACAATTCCAGATTTGTCAAAATATTAAACACTTCTATGACTTTTTTTTCTCTATCAAGGAAGTTGTCAGTGGCCCACCACAGATAGTTTTAGTATGCACTTTCTATTCTACCTAATTACAGTCTATTCAGAAGCAGAAAAATATACCAAATAGCTGAGAACTGCCTTCCATAAATTTCTAGCATAGTTTCATCTGGTATCCCATTAAGCAAAAGTGCGTTGTTAATATTTCACGATTCAGTGATAATTATTCATTATTTGCCCCAGGAGGGTGGCTCTCTTCACCTACAAGTGTGAGGAGTGGGAAGTAAGTTCTGCTCCTCACCTCACCACAAGACTGGGAAGTAAATAAAAATAGAAAAAAGCCACAGGTCTCTGTTCTGAAGGACAGACTTTTAAGCAAGAAGTTAGATGCTAAGCACTAGGATTTCTGAAGTTTTGGATTGCAGCAGATTAGTAAGGAGGAAGTGGGCACATAGACTCAGCATTACAAATCAAATCATTACTCCCCTGCCAAAAAACTGCAGCTGTGTCCCCAGCTCCCACAGATGAACGTATAACTTTAGGAGTTTCTTCATGACCCTTCCTAATCTGACCCAACTTGTTTTTCATTTTTCCCAGCTCCTTCTAATGTTTGTTCATCATTCCAGAAACATCTTCCCCTCCTTCCCCTTTGCTTCCTCTACAGAAATCCTACCCAATGTTTACCCCCTTTATCCACCCACTGCCAGAAAGTCTGCTTCTCTCCTCATCACCAGAATTAAGTCTCCCTCTCTGTGGTCTCTCAGAGCATTGATTATGTACTTGCTGTTTTCCTTTTTTTGAGAACCGCTGTAGGTTTGTGGATTTTAATAATCAGCTGGTGTGTTTCAAGAACTGAGAAAACAATTCAAGAAAACAAAGAAATCTCTAATCCATTAAAGGAATTTTCCCATATGTAATGAAATTCAAACAGAACCTTTTTATTTAAAGGGAATATTCTCCATTTTTAAGGGAAAATTTTTCACTTATAATGCTGAACAAATACATGCCTACCCTCATCTCAGTTCTATACCTTCATCTTCCTATTACAGTTTATTGGATTTGTATTTTCTCCCTACAAATACGATTTTGGGTTTTTCACTTGCCCTGCTCTTCCTTAGTAATTTTGAGATTCACATTGGTAGGTGGTGAAGACCTTTCTATCAGTGATCCATTATTTTACATAGATCTGAGTTAACTAGTGTTTATGTGCTCTTGGTACTGTAAGGCCTCCTGTGAGGAAACACATTTTGGTTTAGAGGATGTTACACTAACTCCTTGATGGTGGCAAAAAAGAGGCTAAGTTCTGTGTGATTACAAATCTATTCCAATTGAACAGCAAGTCCCCATTCCACCCTCCCCCCAGCCTCTGGCAACTACTATTCTAATTTTTGCTTCAGAGAGTTTGACCACTTTAGATACCTCATATAAATGAAATCATATAGTATTTGTGACTGGCTTATTTCACTTACCATAATGTCCTCAAGTTTCATCCATATAATGACATATGATACGATTTCCTTCTTTTGTAAGGCCAAATAATATTCCATTGTATAAATACACCACATTTTCTTTTTTCATCTATCTATTGTCAATGAAGTTGTTTCTACCTCTTGGCAATTGCAAATAATGTTGTAGTGAACATAGTAATGCAAATATCTCTTAAAGATCCTATTCTCACTTCTTTTGGATGCATATCCAGAAGTAGGTTGGCTGGATCATAATGGTAGTTCCTTTTTTAGTGTTGAGGAACTTCCACTGTTTTCATTTGTGACTGCATCATTTTACATAACCATAAACAGTGCACAAGAATTCCAATTTCCCTGTATCCTAGGCAACACTTGTTATTTTCTTCATAGTGGTCATCCTAACAGCTGTGTAGTAAAATCCTATTGTGGTTTTGATTTGTCTTTTCACTCTGTTGTTTCCTTTGTTATTCAGAAGTGTTTAAGTTTGATGTAGTCTTGCTAGTATATTTTATTTCTGTTATTTGTTCTTTTGGTGTCTGTTGTAGTCTATATCACGAATGTCCCCCAAAGTCCTCATGCACTGATAGGCAGGGCTTTTGGACAGTGAATCATAAGGGCAACCAATCTGACTTGCCATGAGGAGGTGGGGTCTGGTTGAAAGAGGTGGGTCACTGGAGGCCTGATCTGGAAGAGAGTGTTGCCCTTCCTGGCTCCTCACCTTGCTCTCTGCTTCCTGGTCGCCATAGATGAGCAGCTTTCTTCCACCAGACCCTTGCCTGCTAGAGAGCCAGCTGACTATAGACTGAATCCACTAAAATAATGAGCCCAAATAAACTTCTCCTTTAAGTTGTGGGGGTCAGATATTGCGTCCCAGTGACAAGAAAGTAAGACAGTATCATATCCAAAAAATCATTCCCCTAACCAATGTTAATTAAGATTTTACCCTATGATTTCTTCTAGGAGTTACATAGTTTCAGGTCTTACACTTGACGTCTTTAATGCATTTTGAGTTGTTTTTGTGTGTGGTATAAGATAAGGGGTCAATTTTTATTCTTTTATAAATAGATACCAGTTTTCTCAGCACTGTTTGTTGAAAATGATTTTATTTCTTTTTTCTTTTTTTGGTACCGGGGATCAAACTCTGGACCTTGCGTTTGTGAGGCAGGCAAGGTGCCACTGAGCTAAATTCCTTGCCCGAAAATGATTTTATTTCTTGAGTGCCACTGTAGACATCAGGTTTACGCTACAGGTAAACTTTAGTAGTGAACTTCTGGGCATCGAGGTTC